ATTAAAAGTAGTTTTTTTTTCTGTGTGTTTTACTTGCTTTACAAAAAAAAAACTGTTAAAGTATTCCATTAAAACGTGTCTACTTCGTTATACCCAGCTTTCTAATTTATTACAACCTACTAACTTAAAACTTAACTTTTTTCTTAAGAAATTACTTTTAGACGTAAATGATTCCTACATTTCTGTAATTGCCTTTTAAAACTTTTTAAGTAAATACGTCACTCAAGGGCTTTGAAGGAAAAGTTTTTCAATCCAGCACTATTACCCCGCAGGCTGCAAATCCACTTTTTTAAATTCTGACGTACCCATTGACACCCGAGCCAAAGAGACGAAACTAACTAATTGCAAATAGCTGCATTGCACTTTTTAGACTTTTGACACTTGAAGCCAAGTCAGTATCTGAAAATTCTTAATTTTAAATTTTAATATCATACGGACGCCTAAATGTACTAGAGATATTATAAATAGTTATTAACTTGCTTGATAATGGAAATAATAGAAATTGGGTAAAGATATTATTTAGGCAAAAGAATCGATTTCTTTTTAAAGATCTATAGTTTGTACTAACTGTATCCTCGTTCGTGTATAGGTTTGTGAACGGTAGGTAACTTTACTTTGGTCAATTTATTTTTCTAATACACTAAAAAGGGCATAGTTCCTATAGTTCGAATATGCGCAACCATGCACGATATGGAAGTGACTTCAAATATATGATGCTATTATTAGCTTTTTTTATATATGGAAAAACAAAGTAGGTGGAAGTAATTTTACCCACAATCTGCAAATATAGCTTCAAACGAATTCTACGCTCTCGTTGTTTCCAGTCAACCCTCAATCATCGTTATCTATTAACGTGCATTATGCGTATGGAATTACTAAACCATGTTTTATGAATGAAACATGTGGTGTCCAAACAGAGCTATATAGAGCTGTTCAAGTTTACGTTTCCCCGATTTTAGACGAATAAAGCCGAACGCATTCGTTTAAACTCGTTACGCATCGGGTAAGTTCGGGTGTCCTCGGGCTTGGTGGTCGTGAAAACTCGTTGTTAATGAAGTGAATGACGTCCCTTCTTTTCAGCCTTACTTCCTTACATCGGAGTTTACATTTAAATTGTAGATATCAATAGTAATTAAAAATTTGAATCCCAAAATTTATTGAAATAATTAACTTTATTTAATCTGATGTTTTATTAGTTTGAACTAGATTTTGTGTGACTGTAATTATACAAAGAGTTTTTAAAATCAATAAATGGTTTTTAAAATAATTTTATAATCTAGTAACAAAGTAACTCTCCTATCTTGTTGTCTGTATTTCAGCCAACACTAAAAACACAGACATTCAATTTATTATTCATGTTCGTAGTAAGAAAAAGGAGTTATTAATTCAATATTACTTTCGACCAACCGATGCTTGTAGCTTCTCGTCAAAAATATGAACTCTTGATGTATAACTATTAATAAACAATGAGCATACTCAACAAGTTTTTAACGTAAGAAACTCCTGGCTGCGAAGCGTCGGATGTGTAGGTTAGGTACAACTAATCTAGAATTCGCTGGCCAATTAAATCTTAATTAGTTCATGCGTCTAACTTTGATAGAAACTGTACATATTGTATATAACACGACGAACAACTGCTCTTGTTAGCTTAGAACGGGGTTGATAAACAATGAATAATTCGTATGAGCCGTATAAAACATTTCAGCTTAAACAAAACCATCCGCAGCCTGATTTAAATATGTAAATTATTCTAGGTTTATACGTCACCCACACGAATCAAATAAATTATAAAGGTGAACAGAATTACATACGATTCAAGTGATTGCTTTATCCTATATGATATGATAATTAAAGATACGTTTTTCTTTTAATTAATAAATTTTAACTGCTTAAATAAATTTTATTTAATGCCTTTAATATAAATTATTGTTTAAGGTTACAGTATTTTCACTTTTCAGTCAATATTGAAATGTTAGTTTTGAAAAATGTTACAGAATCCCTAGACTATAAATTTCGTTGCTTCCGAATGAAAAATCTTCCGTACCTTTCTTTAATATTACTGAAATTATTTATTTAAGCTTTTAGAAATTGGATGTTTTAACTTTAAGTTTCTTATATTCCGCTCTCGTTGCTTTCCGTTTAAATTTTTCAACAAATATTGCCAGAACTAATTCTCTGTATTTTTATTTGATGTCTGTTTTGCATAATATTTTAAAAATGTAATGATATGTCAACTAATACTTCTCGATGTGAAGTCTAAGATAATTTATACAATTTGGATTGAAAATATCCCAAAAATATAGATTAAGGTTATAAATACTTATGTTTTTTTTTAACAAAAACTTTGTTAATATTGAGGCATCCATTAAAAACAAATCACACTGTAATCAATGGTACTGAAAAACTTTGTTTCAAACTACTTTATATACATTCCGTGTAACTTAATAATGCCGCTTGATTTTCTATTGCGTCCCAAAACTTTGTTACTTCTCTCAATGAGTTCTGCAGCTTGTATTGTCTTCTTAATATCTGTATTGTTTCTCGTTATTATTAGTATGAAAATATTAATAATTTATTCTATACTATATTTATACATATAAGTCATTGTAGCATACTGACGTTAAATGGTAACGTGGTGATTTTAATACACAAATTGACTATGTTCCCTGAAGTATAATTAAAACGGATTTCATGCATATTTATAGTAAGCTTCAGTATTATGCAAATCGTAGCCGTTGAGTTCTAAACTTATATCATATGTTAACTCTGAACACTTTAAATGAATACGTTCTGATATATTATTTACGACGCCACATCGGATGTAATGTAAGAACTTACTTATATTATGAAGGTTTTTTATTTATATATAAATGATATATGTATTCAAAATTTAAATAAACTTTTATCTAAAATAATTTTAACGTATTTAAGTAGTACATACAAATGGATTATATGACTGTTTTTTGTAGCCTATCGGAGCCCACTGCTGAGCAAGGCTTCTTTCTCTCATGGAGAAGGTTTGAGCGTTAATCACCACGCATGCTCAAGACGGGTTGGTGATTTCAGACTTATATATTTTTTTGAAATTATAAGTCCAGGTTTCTTCGCGATGTTTTCCTTCACCGTGTGTCAGTGGTGTCTATATACTCTTAAAAAGTACATAGGACTCGGAAAAAGTCCCATCTGTACTTTTCAGGACAAGAATCGAACCCGCGCCCTCGGCAACGAGAGGCGGGCCCTCTAACCACTAGGCTACCACTGACTTATAATGTTAATATATGGCTATAGATGGAATTCGTTTGTCAAATTGGACATCATCATAATTTTATTCAATAATTTTCTACAATAAAAGAGATGCTTATCAAATAATTTTCTCTTTACGATGTTATACAATTGTACATCTATTAATCTTAACTTATTTAAAGCGCTACTATTTCAGTTAAATTAACCATAAAGATCAAATTATTTTCGGTTAATTGGTTACATATTTTGTAATTAGTTTTTATAGTAAGACAATTAATTTGATTTTAATGATTATCTCTGTTATTATATTAGTAAGTGGTGGCCCAGTGGTTAAAGGCCAGCCTCTCGTGCAAGAGGGCGCGGGTTCGATGCTGGAAAGTAATAATATGATTTTTCCGAGTCATATGTACTTTGTAATAGTATTTAGACAGCACTGACCGACGGTAAAGGAAAACATCGTGAGGAAACATGGACTTATAATTTCAAAATTATAAGTTTGAAATCACCAACCCATCTTGAGCAAGCGTGCTGATTAATGCTCAAACCTTCTCCATGTGGGAAAGAAGCCTTGGCACAGCAGTGGGCTCTGATAGGCTGATGACGACGAATATCTCTTCACTATTTCTATTTGATAAAATTTAGTTTGACTATGGTTATATTGGGAAATGGTTATAGATGCTTTATAAACACCAACACTGAATAAATGAGGTAACTTTAGTATACTAAAACCTGTTAGAAAATAATCTGATTAAAGAAATATATGGGGTAATTTATTAATGCGATTATTTTATAAAAAAATAAGGCATAGCTAAAACCACTTGTTCGTTAGTTAAATTACCTTATTCATAATCTTTCTCATCCCTCTTATATACAAGTAAATAAAGTTTGACTGTCTGTGGATAATAATATTTTTTTACGAAACCGTCACCTTTGGTTGTATACACTATACACGATACATGTAACAAAAGTCTTAATTTTTACAAAATTTTATATGCTTCAACAAAATACTGAAAGAGCTGCACCGATTTTGAGGACACTTTCACCGGTGAATATCTAATTTGAAGGACTAGCTTAGGGTAGTGTTATTATAGATGCTTTATTTATTTTATTTATATAAATAACAAAGAAAAATTTCCAAGTTTATACCGTGATTACGACTATTTTTAAATAAATACTCTATCTGAAGTTCAACCAATACTTTTAAATTGCCTAATAAATTAATGTTGGGCGCTTAAAGTAAACATTTTTTTACCGTTGATGTATTTGCTATGATACAACACTTTCCCTTTTAGAGACACGTTTTATTCTACACGTACCTACTATTCATTTTATTTCCTACTGTTTATCAGTCAAGGTAAACTATTCTAACTTCTATAAAGGTCACGAGGGTCAGGTTCGTTTCAGGATAAATAGGAAGAACATTCATTAGTTTGTACCCCCACTTTCCTTCTCTAAGTCAGATATTTAATATAGCATTGAGTTTTATCAGTATTTTTTATTTATAAACAGTTTCCCGATATGAAAGGTAATTTTGTGTGATTATTTTAAGGTGTGATAAACTATAGGAATATATAGTACAGCTTCTTAGATCGCTACATATTAGTACTTAAGAGACAATAAATTTTATTTTCTGTATAATATCACCCACACAATTTCTTAGTGATTTAATAGTAACTTTGACTGTATTCATCTGTTAAAGTATAAGAATAGCTAATAGATTTTTTTGTTGTCATCTTAATTAAAAAAATACTAATAAATTACTCACCTCTCCGTTCGTTGTTCTGCATTATTCTCTGAATTTCACCAGCCTCTGAACCGCTCTCAGATTCTGAACAGATTGAATGAGGTCCGCCCATAACTTTAACAGTGTTCCTATTATGAGACACTAGTCTGTAATTTTTGTTTGCACTAACTGCACTACTAGTACGAATTGGTGGCCGCGGAGGTTCCTTATGCCCCAATTCTTGTGATGGCACATCCCTTCTTTGCGTTCCCGAATTCAAAACTGTCCCACGGTACATCGGATTGTCAAAACTAACTCGCTTGGACTGTTGTACGACAACAGGATCCCGTGTTAATGAACCGCGATCGAAGATTTTAGTTTTTGCAATCTGTTGTGATGGTTCGTGGTGACGGTAAACTATGGGGGGATCTCTTCTGACCGTTTTATTAGTGATGAAAGAATCCGTCCTCCGTTCCATAGCACCTCTCGTAAATGGTGAAGAATATATAGCTTGGTTTATTTCGTTTCCTCTTGGCAGACTGCAGCTTCTCGGATCTGTTACAAATGATACCGGCGTACTGCAATTCGACGTGGAATATGTCGCTTGACTTGTTCCGGGCATTCTCATGTTGTTGTTTATTGATTGTTTCAAAAGATATTCATCCTCCTTTAATTTCATTTCAACGATTTTGTGCCAGTAAAAAGCTTCCACTTGCTTACGTGTCTTTTCTTTTTTCATCGTATCACCTATTTTGACATTTTCATTGGATGATTTAGAAGAACCATGAAGAAGCATGGGTGATGGTGTGGACTTATTGCGAGAGCTGCATCTGCTTACCGAATTTCTTCTCTCCTCTGCTTCTATCATAGTTTTTCTAACTTGTTCGTAAGGCGAACTAGTTGCAGGCATGTTTGGTATCTTATGATTTACAGCAACCGGTGTAGAAGGAGCTGAATAATTGTATGGTTTTTCGAAATTTTTTAATGGTTGTTTATTATAATTCCCGTTGCTTTTAAATTTCTCTTTATCAAGCGATAAGCTTCGGGCCCTCGTCGGTTGTATCGTTCTAACTTCAGCTTCCTTCTTTGGGGAAATCAGGAATCTTGTGCTGACTTTTTTTATTTCCGCGCCTACAGACGCCGGCTGAATTTGCGAACGAGACGCTGCATAGATTTCCGTTTCATTAATTGGCTTGATATCTTTAAGTTTCTCTAAAGAATGATAGTATACGTCAGGGTACGGATTTATTCTCAACGTATTCGACACTGTGTTGACTGGAGTATGTAATGGTACCTCGTTCATCGGCCTTGGTGGCACTTGTGGCCTTGCTACATATTTGTAATCATTTTGATCACTTGTTATTGTTACTTGTGTATTTTGATGTTGTGGAGTAACATTTTCTGACACTAAAGTGCTGCTCGATGAATGGTTATTCGGGTAGTTATTTAGATTCTGCTGACGAGATACCGTGGAAAGGTTTTCATAGACACGATCTTCATCTTCCTCCACAGCATTATGTACTTCATGCTTTTGTATCACAGATCGCGGATTCTGATATTGATTGTCCCTACTGGTGCCACTTTTACTACTAACTTTTTTTGATAATTGATTATCATTTATAGATTTCTGTTTGTTTTTACTCGAAAAGAACAACATTGGAAACAGTTTTCTGAAACTGTCCCGTTTTTTATTATTATCTGCCATGTTGAATACGATTTTATCTGGAAAGATATACAGATATATTTTAGACATCCATCTTATAATTTTAAACGGAATTATCTTAAACTATATACGTTTAAACATAATAATATTGATACTGATAACGGACGACGGTTGGAGGATAAGCAGTTATATCTTATCTGCTGTAAGTTATGGGCGATTGAGATTACTGTATGATGTACCCGATACATTTGCTTGCCAACGGTAATAACAACACTATGTATGGAATTCCTCCTTAATATAATATACTGATGTGTAAGTGGTATAAAAATATTCAAACAAAAATTCAAACAAATTTGTTTCTAAAGCTATGACACCACAATAAGTGTACACAGATACTTATATATTTTTAAATACAATAGTATTTCGAATTCGTTTGTTTCCAATCATTTTGTCTCGAATTAAGTATTATAATGACCCGAATTATGCAAGAAGATTTTCGCCGTATATAATATTAATTATTCATTGCACGCAATGCTGGTACTTAATTACAGGGAACATTAATTAAATACTCTTTTTTACTCGAATGACAGTCGTGTTAATGAGTATTATAGCACGATAATAATTTAATGAAATATAAAATATAATTTATTATATATGCATGAATAAATCGATAGTTATCAAAGGGCTTGTAATACAGTCTACTCATTATATTTTTCTTAGTTCTATATTAATACTATGTTCGTTTTTATTTTATCATTATATTTCAAACTTCAGCCAGTAATCTATCATCTAGGTAAATTGTGGACGCAAAATAGTATATTAACTTTTTTAGTTTTTGCGAAGTAATAAGCGAACCAAGATTTATTTGTAGGTACTGCAATATAAGTATAGGTATGTATATTAAGTGGTGTATTTTCATTCAGAATTACACTCTTCTTGTAACGGATGCATAATATTTCGGATGTATTTTTTTTCATATACGATAGTTTGTATTATCCTTATACTCATCAGTTCATACCGGAACTTATAAATACAAGAATGCAAACAAATTATTTCGGCTGGTAAAAATATTACTTCCAATGAAATGATAAACGCACATTATTAAATATAAAATTTCGTACTAATCTTTACATACCTATAAAGACACACTTAACTACAACGAATGAGTCATATCGATAAATAGCGTAATCGGCTCGAGCCGAGTGTCGTTAAATTTTGCCGCAATTATCGCTTTGTCTAACACACATTGACAGTTTACTACTATAAACTTCTCAAGCTTTAGTTAAATAATAAAAGTTGTGGGATTGTATTATTACCGTATAGACCATATCTTACGATCTGTCAGTCCAAATACACGAACAACACATATTTTCGCAAACTTAACATGTAAGAACATAAAAATTAAAAGAAATAACAAACTTTCATCACAGATTTAGATATTGTAAAACACAATTAAAAGATTTAGTAATTAAAAATGTATGCACTCCTAAGTACTTATAAGAACATTACTTCAAAACTGGCAATAGGAATTCTTACTAAAACATAACTCTATCAATATGAAATAACCTTTTCTATCATCATAGCTCTAACTTGTTTTCGTTAACTTTGAAGGCCATTACCTTAATAATATAAGGCTTTTGTATATCAACATAGAGTTCGTTTTCTGCACAAACTTTACCACACGTTCCATTCCACGAAAAACTTTAATGACACTGCGCAGATAATCTTGACAATCTTGAGCTTAACATAAATTGGGATTTCTTTAAGATTTTACTTCTATTGTGTGGTAAATTGTTGTGTTGGATTTTTTTTGTATTTATAATTTTGATGTTAATGTTTTAAGAACATCACTTTAAAAATCCAAGTATTTATGTAATTCCTCTAAGAATTAAGTAATTACTTTTTAATATCTTTAACTATTATGTTGCTGATATAAAAGGATGTTATTCATAATTAAGAACATAATAATTGAGGATAACATTAAGCAGATATAGACACACATTTCATATTATTTACGGGTTATTTTATCTTTGCAGTCGGAAAAAAAATTCAAACATAAAACCTTTTTAAAATTAAAATGTTCCTGATTAAATAAATAAATGTTATTACATATATTACACCTGTAAATGTTAGTCATTAAATTTTTAAACATGATGATTGTTTACCTCCAATAATGTTTCCTCCATGTTAACCATTTAAACATTAATAGTGTTTATTAGTTATAAATAGAATTTATAAAGCCATTTTAATGGAAATGAAACCTTTAAATCTAACTAGAGATATATTCTTTGAAATATAGTTTATAAGTCTTGAATTTACAAGTATGTATTAGTTTAATTAAAATAAATGAAATAACACTCTTTTATAAAAACCAGAAAAAAAACATCTTACGTGAAACGAAACGGTTATAAGTTTAACGTTTGACGTTTACGAAGTTCAAGTGTACGTGTATTTTTTGTATTTGTTACCAGAATTTGCTTTCGTTTTTGATAATATGGAATTGTAATACGTGTCGTTTTGAGTAAAGAATGTTGTGTTGGATTATTCTGCTTACTTGAATTTTGGTTTCCTAGTAATAAACTAGTTAGTATTTTATTCAATTTATAGGGTTTTATAACAGTTCCAAATCGGTATTAATAATGGCCAAAACTAAGAGTGAAATTAGATTTATTTTCTATGCTGTTTCAATATTCATTTGCTATTTTATATTTGGAATGTTGCAAGAAAAAATAAATAGAGGAAAATATGGGAACGAAAGATTTACCTGTACCCTATCACTTGTTTTGATAACTTGTTTGGTGAATTATATATTTGCTAAGATATTAATGGTAAGTTTTAATATTGTATATCTAATAAAATTTATTGCTGACTTACAATAACATACTAACCAACCAGAAAACACCTTACTGATGTCTTTTAAATGAATGAGAGTGTTTGATGTGTTATTCATATGTTACATATGTTAATTTACAGTTATCTTGGAAGCATGAAAAAGACACAACAAGAACAGCATATTACTTCTCATCAGCATTGACATATTTGCTGGGAATGGTTACATCAAACATGGCGTTGCAATGGGTAAATTACCCTACACAGGTATGTATAAAATATATTATTCAAAAATTACATTAATGCCAATAAAATACCTACTCTTATTTCTTACTAAATTTCATGATATAATTTCAGGTAGTTGGCAAAGCTGCAAAGCCTATCCCTGTTATGATACTGGGAGTCTTGATTGGTAGAAAGGTGTATCCGTTAAAAAAGTACTTCTTCGTTTTTCTAATAGTTTCTGGAGTCGTCCTGTTTATGTTTAAAGATCAGGCCAAAAATGCAACTGACTACCAGCAGTTTGGAATTGGTGAAATATTGATTCTTTTATCACTGACAATGGATGGATTGACTGGTGCTGTGCAGGTGAGAAATAAAATTTACCCATAAAATGCTATTCATTTATTTTCCATAAATAAATGTATACAACATGAATTACAATGAAATATTCCATACTAAATGATATAAGACTTAAACATTTTTTTTATATTAGAGCGACTTTTATGAAGAATTTAGTATAAATCTTATTTCTGGCCTTCTCTAACTTTCAGGAGAGAATCAAGAGTGAATCTTCACCCACAGCATATGCTATGATGTTGAACACAAATTGGTGGTATGTGATGATTATATTGATTTAAATAACAAATAATTTGTCTATAGCATTCATGTTTATTATCATTGCGAATTTGATGAATTTAGTAGTTAAAGCTTGCTGTATGTTGCGAAAATGCTGAAGCAATTGATGGCTAATATTAATTAATTACTGCGAAGTTATTAAAAATGCCTGTAAATAACGTGTTATATTTTGTTGAAACATTATGGAGTTATATTAACCCAAAATATTTGATTTAATTTCAGGTCAACCATAATAGTTTCGCTCGGTGTTGTTTTAAGTGGAGAGATATTCAAATTTATATCATTTGTTACTATACACCCTGAAATTATAATATATTTGACTGGATTCGCTTTCACGGGTGCTTTGGGGCAACTGTTTATTTTTTATATGGTAAGTAATTTAAATAAGATCTTCTTATACACTACTTTGTGAAAAACCTGTAACATAAATTGATTACTTGGAAAATAGTGTATTAAATTTTATAATGGATGATGTTGAATACATTTTAAAATTTTTAACTGTTAAATAGTTTTGCTATTACTTGATGGTATTTCACATTAACATAAAATGTCAACATTTAAGACTGAAAAGATGAAACAAGATTGCTTGTACTGCATTTTTTATATGTATTACTTAATGTCTTTTTTGTACTTAATTTTTATACCTATTTAAGACTACTATATTGAATAGAATCAGTTTATCATTATATTTACTAATTAAGTCAATTTAAAACTATTTAAAACTGTACTATATTGAATAGAAATAGTTTATGTGTATGTTTACTTATTAATTCTCAGGTGTCTGAATTTGGCCCGTTGCCATGCTCTGTCGTTACCACAACAAGGAAGTTCTTCACAGTTCTGGCATCCGTTATTATATTTGGAAATGTACTCTACCCTAGACAATGGTTTGGAGCTATCCTAGTATTTTCTGGTGAGTGTGACCTTGTTAAGTGTTACAATATGTGTTATTTTAGTGTAATTTCATTTTCCTATTCATTATAAGCCACCATATTTTGAACTTGTTAGAGATTTATATTGAGTTTATACTAGGTATATCAACTAGTTAATATGAAATTGTAAATGAGAATATCTTAGTAAGTATTTTAAACAAATCATAATGTAAAAAATCTGTCAGAGACCTCTTGGAATTAAAGTTTTGTTAAATGCACTAATGATTAGAAGATGCTCAATAAAGGTCTTGTAAAGTCCGGGTCTTATATAATTAGCTATACTTAGCAGTTATAAAATTACCATGTTTTGGCCTAAATGGATCGGGCTTGGAGAAACAAAGTTCCCTTATACATATTGTAAAGTAGGGAAGTTACAAGTTGAAAGCAAAATCAGAAGGCAAATGACAGAGAAGAGCAGAAAACTGTGTAATACAGAGAGGTGAAACAGTATACCAGGTTTTTAAAGTATGGATTTTAGGCCTATTTTATTGAATAGATTGGGTATAGATGTTCTCCCATCACTCCTGTGACAGAATAATCAATCTATTCTGTTACATAATGGACGATAAAATATATAGCTTTACTTCTCCAATCATACTTTAATACTATCTGATCACTCAATGAAATAGCCACATTAATAGAATTAATTTTAGTTTTTTCTGCAGTCAAAAATGTGAGATTCGAAAAAATAGGGGATGTAATCTATATTCTATAATGATATCATGTCTCACAAAGAGGTGATAAAGAGCCACATTGGACGCCGGTTGACCTCCACCTCTCTTGAGCTCTGGCCTAGCAGTTGGCACTATTACCCTATAAGGAAATAGTAAAAGCCGTTCTAAGTAGTGTAGTTCTTGTATAACATGACACCAAGGTTAAACTAAATCACTGTGTATAACAATATAGTATGTTATAGTAACAATATTTTTGCCAAAGAACTTGTTTGCACATAATAATTACTCTTTATTATTTATATTAAGAAATATAGGTAAAAATTGTGAAATAGAAATTCCTAAGTTACTCAATATGTCCCTAAAGTCCAAGACTCTAAGCAAGAATTCACATACAGACACACAGACAAAGAAATACTGTAATTTTTGCTGATATATGAATGGTGAAAAAATACATATGGATTTATATATGTTTCACACAAACAATCCAATATTTAATTGTATAGATAATATGTTAACACTGTTATTAATATTCTTGCAATTGTTTATTTCAGGATTATTCTTGGACATATTTTACAGCAAGGGAAAAAGTCAGCCGACTAAGAGGGAACTGAATAAATGAGAATCAATATCAGCCGATGGCTACTCTATAGTGTAATATACTGAACATTATTTGTGACAGTGTTTTGTATTTTTGTATATCAAACAATTACATAAATATGTAGTAGCGTTTAATCTACCATTAATGTAATATTATCTAGCCAGATACTATTATTTATATTACTTTTTTCAAGTAATATTATTTCCTGACGAGAAATGTATTTGTTTCCTATGAGTAAAATTGAATGTGTTTTTATATATGTATTTAAATATTGTATGTACTGGCACTACAGTTGTGTAACTATTACATTGAGATTGTATAATCTAGATTTATAATATTAATAGTATATTTATGTGTAAATGTTTCTTTATTTATATTTACTTAATGCAATTCATTCAAGTTTGTTTGATTTGAGGAATACTTTACTATTCACTCAGCTTATGTATTATTTTTAAGTAACATTGATCCAACAGTGTAAGAGTTCTTTTCCAAAATGATATAGGACCTTTTGGACTATGATGACTCAATTAAGATTGATGTGTGCCAATATAATTATTGAGCAGAGGCTTTTAAACATTTTATTAAATTTAGTTTTATCAAGTTTTATTTAAATAACAAATGAAATACAAATTAGAAAAAAATATATTGTATAACATGGCGACATGCGATAGATGTTAGTTTTCATGAAATTGACTAACTAAAAATTTATTTATTTTATCTAACAATAAAATTTTTATTGTAGTTAATTCTCTTTATTATAAATAAAATCTTTATTAAAAATTTATTTACTTATATTTCGTTTTTAGTTTACTAGTAGATATTAGTATAGAAAAATCTTCCATTCAAGTGACAATGTCTTTTAGTATCTCTAAAATATATAATTTTTATTAAATACTAAGTTTTATATGCTCGCTGATAATTTTATAATTATTTAATTTTCCTTATTGTTTTTCATCAAAATATGATGAATTAAAATATTTTAAAAGCAGGAAATATGTATTCACACATTTTTTAATTATCCTAAGTTGAATTTAATTATGACTTTCGCATAAAGAATATAAGAATGTCAACTGGGTTTAGATGTTAGACAAAGAAAGGGATTATTTAATATATAAAAGCCTTTATACAATATGTAAAATGTATTGATTAAACCTGTATGTAATAATTATAGATAACTAAAGAATATAAGACCTATATATAGAATATAAGCTATCTACGACACGACTTCGTCCCCACAGACTTGGGGAATTTGTAAATTATATTAAAGAACTTTTTTTTAGATACATATAACATACATCTTGTTATGTCATAAAAGGCGGAACTTTAAAACCTCTTGTTTATTTAAATGGGCCTTAAAATATGTAGTATTGTTTAACTATCTATTTAGCTTTTAGTATGTATTATTGTATGCACCAAAGAGTTTTAAGTATCCCGTAATTACCAATTTTATTTCGTTTTCCGTACATGGGTCATATATTCAAATTTTAAATAAACGCAGTGGCTCCATCTTTATAAATTTAAGTGAATTTATTTCCAATGGTTGATAAGTAGCGCCATCTGTTGTAGAAACTGTATAACAAAATTTTGTGACCTTCATAAGAAGGTAACATTAGTCGTGAAGCCTTTTTATTTTACTATTATTGCTAATTCAACATTGAAACTAAGCTATTTAGAACTATGTTTTACGAGACAGAACATTATTAATCAACTATTGGGTGCACTTAATCTGAAAACAAATGAAAGGAATCAATTATTTGGAGTATCATGTATTAAAGAGCAAGTTAATAAAATACGTATAAGAAATGTGTAGATAAAATCCGCTGGAAATGTATTTATGTATAGTATAAGATTGTTGGAAAACAATGCTCTGTCTCTAAGAATAATGAAATCCGGTGGTTTTTAAAGAATTGGTGGCCTATAGAATTATAATTAATACAATACTTGTAAGGCATTTGAAAAATATTTTATATATCAAATAATAAACAGACTAGGTGCTTTTATTATAATGAGTACGAGTGGGTAAAAGTTCGTTTCATCAGAAGTATGTAAATTATTGAGACGGAAGACCCAGTTATTGTGTTTTAAGTGAATTCTTAAGACGTAATCGTGTTTGAATATTACAAATTCGCTGATTTTAAAAGAACTCATCCGATAATATGGATAAATTTTGAATTGTAGAACCTATATGATACATATTAATAATAATGACTTGAAATCATTTGGATGCACTTTAAATATGTTCGTTATACAAATATTGAAACATTTTTTATTTATGTAAGTATCGTAGTTTTTTAATGATAATAGTGTATACAAATAAATAATACACTTTCAGATACACCATGCGGTTTTTTTTATATTCTACCCGATTTTCCGATTACTTTTCAGCAATTTTTTAATGCTATGGCTTCTTTTACACTGGAATTATGGCATATTCTATAATTCCAGTAATAATATTTCACAATGTCAACTTTTTTCTTTATTGAATAAATTATAATTTTGTATACTTTGTACAGAAAGCAATTAGGCGTGTGTCTAATGGGATAAGGTCGTTTTATTAAAGTATCCAATTACATTAGGAAATCAACGTTAAACGAGTGTCAAGTGTCATTTGTCAGATGTCATTAGTCAGATGTCAGGTGTCATTTGTCAGACGTCAATTGTCGCTTGTCACATGTCATATGTCACTTATCAGATGCTTTATGTGTCACTTGCTGCCAATGACTTTGTGGTTGTCTCAAATAATGCTTTGGATGCCAGCAGAACGCACTGTATCTTGAAGTGTCAAAAATTTAAAGATAGTTAAATTTATTTTAAAAAAGTATATCATCGTCATCATATCAGACTACTGGTTTTGAAGAAAAAGGTGTATCACTCATGCCTTATATCCACAAAAACTGAATTTTAAATGTTAGAGCTTATTAAAGGGAGCCTATTCTCCCGATACAAAATAGCCTATTTTAGGTAATAGGAATCAATATGATTGATTATTATTATTAACAAATTCAGCGTATATGCCTAATATAAATATGTATATATAGTAACGTAAATGACTGGTATTTATTAAGACTTTACTAAGCTATTCAAGGTTTTTAATTATATCTTCAAGTGATATTGTCTGCCTCTACCGTTCGGGCAGTTTCGTCCTTTTTCAGAGGATTAGTGTCAACTAGTTCCCATCTCGGCCCCATATTATTTTTATTTTTTATTAACGATATCGAGAACTACATTTATCATAGTGAATATTCAATTTTCGCTGACGATTTAAAGTTATACAGGCCAATTAAAACTATTCACGATGCAGAACTTCTGCAACGCGATTTAAATTCAGTACAACAGTGGTGCAATAACAATAAAATGATACTCAATGCAAACAAATGTCAGTATATCAGATTCACTAAAAACAGAAACATAATTTCATATAACTACACTATTAACAATAAAGAATTAGCGGAAGTTGAAGAGGTCCGAGATTTGGGCGTAGTTATTGACAAAAAATTACAGTTAAGTAATCATATCAACAAAATTATAGAAAAATCCTTGAAACTCCTTGGTTTTATTAAAAGAACATGTCACCACTTTAAAAATATTCAAGCTATTATAACGTTGTATCGTTCCCTAATTCGTAGTGTTTTAGAATATGCATCACCAGTTTGGAGCCCAAGTTACAAAATTTATAAAAGTCGTCTTGAAAAAATTCAACAGGGTTCTACAAGATTTTTAGCATATAAAGACAGGCACTGTCCATATCGGGCAGACTATGTAACACGTTTGAAATATTTCAAGCTAGATACATTGGAGAAACGGCGGTCTCTGAATGACTTAATGTTTTTACATAAGCTCATTCACAACTCAATAGATTCTTCAAAGCTACTTTCTCAAATAAATTTATATGTTCCGAAAACCATTCCTAGATATCCAATTAAAAGCACCTTCGCCATTCCAAGATTTCGTACAAATGTCGGAAAATTTTCGACTTTAATTCGTTGCATGAGGACCTACAATCAAATTGATTCCCATGTCGTCGACATATACAGCCAAAGTAATAGTAGTTTTAAAAAAATTATAAATACTGTTTTAGTTAATAATTGATATTTATATGTTTGTTAGCTTATTTTGTTTGTTTTAGTTAGTAATTGATATTTTATCTTAGTTTTTTTTTTATTGATATGTTATTTTATTGTATTCAGATTCTTAAATGTTTTAGTGTAGTGTTTACCTTACCCTTAGTTCTTTTGTTATCATGTAAGCAATAATGTAAATACCTGTAATGGTGTATCACACTGAACAAGTTTATTTTTTTATATTTTTTTTCAACATATAGTTTGTGAATATGCCGATGGTATTTCTAAAATAAATAAATAAATAAATAAACTAGTTCCTGCGTTACCACAAGTTTATTACCTACAAATTGTTATTGTCAGGGCTCTGTATAAATAAATAAAGGAGTATATACACACTATGTATATATACTTGGTGATGAAGGAAGCAGACTGAATTCAACTTGCAATTAATTTTAGATCATTTATTTGAGACTACCAATGTAGTATTGGTTTGCTTAAAGTTTTTTTTTATATCAAAGATGTCAGACGGCCTACTTGGTGTAAGGTAGTACCGCCGCCCATGTACATCCGCAACATGTTTGTTGCGAATGCGTTGCCAACCTTGTTTTTTTAGGAATAGGAAGGAGTGGGAATAGGTAGGAAAGGGTGGGAGATAGGAAAAGGGCAACCGGTTCTCTCACTCATCGGACGAAACGAAGCCACTAAAGGCTACTTCACGCCGATCTTCTGTGAGAGGGTGGTACTTCCCCGGTCGAGCCAGCCCATGTTCGAGCTGTAGTAACTTACCACAGCTAGGCTCTACCACCTACAGAGAAGTACTGCGTGTCCTGTCTTTATAAACTTAAAGAACCTTGTGTGAACTTCGCATGTTGTTTTGTAGCGATAGCGAACAATATTTTTGTAAGAGTTGTAAACACAGACGTTAAAGTATGATGCATGCATTAAATTCTTCTTGATAAGCTGCAATGTAAGTCTTCATATTTTTAATTTGAATCGTTGGATGACAAGTCCTTATTGACTGTTCACATAATAAGATTTCAGTTCTCTTACAACTATTTTTAGGGGTATTTTAAACGAAGTCCAAGATTCCAGAGACAAAGAGGAAAAGATGATTATTCATGACGAAATTTGATTATGTTTACATCCTTCAATATATTTTATACTATTTCATAGGGACCTATGAGAGTCAAAGATTGTAAAAATTTAAAATTGCACAAGTATTTTATTTTTGGTCAAGGTTATCCTTGGCATCTTTATCGTTATAGAATTATTATAAAGCTGAGATTTTTTTTATATTATTCGAACATAGAAGTGCTTTATATTTTTCAATTTATTCTTCTGACTGAACGAGTTAAGCAGTTCATTTGATTTTGTATGTAAAAACTGACAGGACAAAAAAAGATCGTGTTTTTTGGGGTTTTTTATTTATTGAACATCAATAAGTTTCACAAACTATAATTTTGATACATTTTCAACGCACAACATAAATACATCATCACATTAGATTTCCTTACATACTCAATATTCATAATATCACACCTTCTCAAGCACCCTGAGTTCATTCTTACTTTAAATACAGAATAACTTAATTACACCAATAGGATTTTTCACTTAACTGAAGTTTAATTTCCAATAACTCTCCTAATACCTTGTAAGGGTTAAGCTCGAAACTGAATAAGTAGTAAAATTTTTAGTAAAGAGAGTTATAGTGTATAGAAACAGGTAAAGAGGAGCAGTAAAATGTAGCAACATCTTAGACTTATAAACATTTAACATCAAATATTTAACACATAATTTATAGAAGATCCATGATCTTAAAGTTTACTAAATGCATGCACTTACATCTATGCAATAATTTCCTTTATTTCCTTTATAGCTTCATTCACTATCAATTTGTTTGTATTTTATTTTGCTTGTTAATGTTTTGCTTTTTTTTTTTTTGGTTCGAAATGTTATACAATTTTCAATATTATGAATGGAGTATAAACAAAGGATATTAAGGAAATATTGGCGTTCTTACCTACTAATTATAACTTAACTAGCACGTCAAAATGTCAATGACACGTGCTAAATACCGACAATTAACATATACCATTATTTTGAACAATTAAGACTTGAAATATGTCACTGTCATCGCAGGACCATAATACTACTTTGTAATTAGGAAATATACACTCATTAAGAAAAGGTTGTTGAAAGTAGCGTTGCCCAAAATCGGTCTTGGTCTTGCATCCTCGCAGTTAGTCCAAGACCGCCTAATTTTAGCAAGACCAAGGCTGGCCAAGAGTCGTGTTGTTCTTGCATTTGGGCAACACTAGTAAAAAGTTACCTAAGTTAACATTAATACTATTTTAGGGATATTTTTTTTATTTATTTTTCAATTTTTTTTTCACATTCCTTATTAGGCTTCAAATAAGAAGTATATTAGTACTACTTTTGAGACTTGAGAGATACCTAATAAGCACGATCCGTTTCAATATTAGGAATTGCCAAGAATGTAAATATTTTAAAACTTGCTACAAAATATTTTTTTTGCATCATATTTAAATCTTTTTTTCTTAATATTTTTTCTTATTATTGTAGCTGTAATATGAAAATACATCTTTTGAAGATTTATTCGATATAATTTTTGTATATAAAATATGTTTCTATTTTTAGTAAAAAACTGCTATATCCAAATATTTTTTCCAAATCAGTGTTCCATAGATTGCCGAAAACTTTTCTCAAAAGCATCGTAGGTACCCTCATTAATTAACATTGACATCAATTTTTTTTTATTTTAAGAGATATTTAACACACATAATGTAATCTACATTTAACAGTTTCACATTTATTTTACCTTTGATCTGAAATAATTCTATAAGTAAGAGATCGAAGAGTGGTAACCCTATCTGCGCTTAAACTGTTGTTTCAATCATTTCAATTATTTCAATCGGTTCCGAGCGCTGTCTCCTTTGTGGTTCGGGGTGAATCTCAGGGTACACCACCATCCGGGACGGGCGTTGTTGCATGCAGCATGGGGGCATAGGGGCTGATTCATCGCAAAGCACATCGCAGCTACGAGAAATAGATTAACAAAAAACCAGCGATTTAGGCGACCCTTTTAATTTAAAATTTAATATATCGCAGTGCTGTCACCTACTAATGATTGGGCTTGAGTTTATGGATATTTTTTTTCATGATATGAAATGATTTTGAATTAAGTGTAAGTCATATAATAATTTCATATTTCTTTTTCTTCGCAGCATGCTTTAAATATAATGTTGTAGGTGTCCATGTTCATGAATATGTGAAATACAATTCTATTTAGCAGATTTTGTCACAAGTCATAACCAAATCAGTATTTTGTCATAAGTGCCTTACCATTCAGTCATTTCCATATCGCATTCCCTTTCCAAAGCGCAGCGGCAGCAGTGGTGAGCTTCAATCATGGGTTTGCAACCACATTCAAGTCTCGTAGTCGGATTTCCATCAGCACTAGAAAACAATATTATTTTGAGAATATTACGGGAACTATTTTTTCATTCTTATATCTTTATAATGTTGATTATGGTTTTCGCATTTGCATTTATTCCTATTTCCCTTTTTTAGTAATACATGGATGGCTATCAATTAAAAGTGAATTTTCGTATGTTGGCCAGGATTTCAGAATTGGTTTAATAAGAGGAAATAATGTCATGCTTGAACAAAATATATTTGGCAGCCAACAGGCATGTGCATATACAGTTTGAGATATTTTTTTTCATACAAGTACATACAACTTTCATGCCCTGTTCTAACACAAATATTTTAAATAAATTATAACCCAATTATCATTTTAATGTCTAAATTCTATCTTTTGAAAGTACTCCTAAAATTTGTTAAGTAGATTTTGCATGAAATAGCAATAAATATCATAAACTGTAGCATTTATAATATTATTAAGGTAAATAACAAAAGGGTTTCACATCTCTATGAGGGCAAACATTTTTTTATCTTTAATTTTTTGCCTTTTGTAATTTAATTCGAAATCCTTGTAGATGAATAGCCCTACGTTGCATAGAAAAGAGATTCTTATAATACTAAAATAATCATAGTATTAGGTGGTGTTAAATTACTCAATGCGAAAGAATGGTGGCGGTGGGACACTATCCATGAGCTCGTCAGAGAGAATATGATTAACCACTGGGCGTTCCTCATTCACTGGGCGTTTCCATGAGAACCATTTCCATGAGAAGCATTCCCATGAGAAGCATTCCCATGAGAAACAGTCCCATGAGAAGCAGTCCCATGAGAAGCAGTCCCATGAGAAGCAGTCCCATGAGAAGCATTCCCATGAGAAGCATTCCCATGAGAAGCATTTCCAAAATCTCAGAGCCTTAATCTTGCGTTTCAGGGTCTTGCGAACCTGTGAAGTCAATTATATTAAAATTTTATAACAGTTTTCTTTGAAATAATTATGATTGTTTTACAACTTACCTCTCCATTGAAGATGCAGTAGAATAGTGAAAGGAAGCAACCTTGGAAGGATCTCAAGAAATGAGAGACGTAAAGCCAGAGAGCAAATTTCCAAGTCGGTGAATAGATCGATATATCAATCATATTCAAAATATTGATGATGCCAAGCAGTGGTGTTAGGATCGTGACAACCTTCACTGAAGTTCTAGAATATGTAAATCATATATGAATTAAGAGTAAACCAACAAAACTTAATCATAGCTTGTAGACTTACTTGAGCTTTTTAATTTCAGTATCCCCTACGTATAATTTTGAATATAATCTCTTTAATATGAGCACTAATGTGACCATATTTATCTGAAATGTAGGTTTTTAAGCGAGCCATAGTTCTATTATAATAAAGGGAAAGATTCAGTTTTTATCAAACTGCAATATTTAAACACTCACCATTATAACCACAAATCTAGGTGCCTGCATTATCCAATAAGTTGGCTCAAAATTGTAACCGAACCAGCAACTAAAAATCGCATTGAAATCGTAGAGAATTATTATGTTTGTTAGAGAATCCATAGTGGTGTTTAATTTTGAAATATAAGTAATTTCATCAAGCAATTATTATATTTATTTAGTATAGCGTTTAATTGTACAATAGAGTTAATTGTTAGTTTTATTTAATATATTGTTAGTATAAATTGTTAATTTTTTTTTGCTATGGCTTCATTGTCACTGAAATGGAGGATTATTTTGCTAATGTCAACGTTTTTATTTGATGCAAGAATTATAATCTTGAGTAATTTGAGGAGAAAATACGAAAAAAGTCATTATTCATCTAGAAATCGTGTTTTTAATTCCAAATAGTTTAGAAATATTTATAATTGTACGGATAACAAAATCCAATATTTTTTGGAAACTTTTTTTTTGGAAAAGAAAGTTTAACTCAAAATTAATTTATGTCAAGGTTTCCCAAACTTATTTTGTCTAATGCCCACTTTGAGAATAAATATATAATTTTTAATCGCTCTAATTTTTTTTCCTACTAAAAAACTACTTTAACTTAGCCTAGCTAAATGAAATTACAAATCACATCCCAGGCCTTCACACAAAGCCGCCTCTTTTTGAAAAATGATTCATTTTCTAATCATAAGCGGTACATGATTTTGCAACCAACAAAGTAATATTTGCTACTTGTTCTATATTAATATGGATACTATATATATTAAGTAAATAATTTTTTTCTAAGTCTTTTAAAGAAGGTGTAAAGATATTTTATTTCATGAGGAGTGTCCAAAATTTACGCCGGTATATATTTTCATTATACATATGTACAAAGCTTCAGTATCGATTAGATTATTACTATTTTTTCAGTGTGTATTAAACCTATTAGACAAAGTGTAACGTGTAAATTTCAACCAAAAAATAAAATGATCATGTAATTAATTCCATTCCTTGTTTTTCTATTTGTTGATAATCATGATAGCGATTTTTGGCTGCTGATTCTTTGACAATACAAATTTCTAGTTCGTGGTCTTCGAAGAATGGCGGTTATAAAATATTAAAGAGATTATAATCAAAACTTATAAACGTTCATGGTTTATATGTATAAAAGCATACGCATATTTCTATTATTTTGATTAATATTTTCAACCCTTCATAAATTCTAAACTATTTTATTTATAACTCGTTATTTTGGAACAGAGGGATAAAAAAGCCATTCCATTAATTGAATCCCATACAAAATATGTAAAGTCCGCTTTCAAAATCTAGGTAAAACAGGTAACACTTTAACAATTAGAAAAGTTTCATTTCTATTTAAAAATAGAATATTTTATATGTATGATATTTTCCAATGATTTAAAACGTATTTTGATTTTTTTATACTAGGAAAAGTAGATCTCAGTAGAAAAGTCGAAACTTTTATATTAATTTTGATAAAGTCACAATTATTAGATGCTCGTTTAAAATTTGTTAGAGATTATATAAGGAAATAAACATATATTATGTTTATTTATTAAGTTCTGTCATTGTATGATACTATTATTACATATAGCTGCTAGAAATAGAGATTACTTCTGTTGTGTCATGTAATAAATATATAGAATTAATGACGGACCTATCTTAAATGGTACCCAAAAGACTTTAATACACTATTTAATATTTCCATTATTTTTGTTATTAGTCACCTTGGAATTAGTGATTAGTATCTATTTACATTCCATTAAATAAAAGAACTTACATATATACATGCAAATCACACAATATTATTTCTTATCCCAAGAAATATAATGTACCTTATATAAAGTAACAATACTCACTCATCAGCATGATAAGACCTAGTAGAAAGAGCCCAGACGGTAGTGAAAAATATTGTCGCTCCCCAAGCTAACCAGCAATAAATCTTGAAATGGAAAGATTTCATGATCTGTTTGGAGACCAGATATCGTATATAAATGCCTTCTATGAGCATCCAAGCAAACATCGCCGTGTAGGCACATTCCATAACAACGTAGCATGATTCGCAGACTATCGGCTGAAAAGAAAACCTCTTTAAAGTTTAAATTGATTAAAAACTGATCACGCAAAGTTTTTTATACAGCCAGCCATAGTCACCGCTTGCAAGCAAAAAATTCTCTTACATATCGTCTACGGTAAATTCTTCGCTATAAAATGCAAATCCCTAAACCTCAGCTGAGAACAATAAATTAAGAACTGGCAGTTTTGCATGTCCAATGTTAATAAATACGGATAGGTCCATCCAAAAAAAAATATTGCAGCTTTTTAATTCAAATTAACATATAACAAGGAAAGAAAGGAAAGGAAAGGAAGGATTAGAACAAGGAATAGACATTTCTTTTGATTTGTTATTCGCTTTGTATATAAACAATAAATTCGCATAGCATTATTATTATATAATTAGATTTAAATACAATACAATCAATAGAAACAAGTAAAAAGTTAAAAGACTTGACCCTTTTGTATTCGCTTCAGCAGTGATGATAGATGAAAATTAGCGAAGTTGTTAGGTAGTGATGCGACCGCTATTAAAATTATGAGATGTATGTTATATTATATTGATAATATTTATTGATTACCGTGTGAGAAATTCCGTATCGGACGTTGAAAAGCTGGTCGAGATAAATCACCAGACGGCTAAGTGTCTGAATTGTCATTGCCGCGAATAAGTTCATGTGGATTTTGTTGCGTGTGTTTTGAAGGACCCTGGTAATTGAAAATAAAGTGCTTAGGTGTGTAAAGTAGTAAAGTGTATTCAGAGGTTCCGTTTAAATGTTCTAATACGTAATAAAAGTATGAAATATGTAAGAAATTATGAATTTGAAGATGTGTTGTCACTCAATGTATAGCTGTAATCTTTGTTGACACAGAACTTGCCTGTCTCATTTATGATATTTTTTGGACCATCAAGATTGCTTGTTAGAATTTATAAAAATAATTATTTTGACTCTAAGCAAGTTCTGATATGTAGCAAACTAACTTTACTCACGTGAAATATGTAAGTATGTAAAGCGACGTTGATAGAAAAATGAATGACACGATGAATCCTACTATTTCCATATAGCGGGTTCCTAGTATAATGCTGTATTTGTCCTAGAGAAGAAATATATCATTTAGGATAGTATGAACAGAGTTTCTTGTTTGGAAGAAAGAAATTTCTAGAAAGTACTGTAATTTAAGCCGTCTCAACATATGCTGAATGAAGAGTTGTTTTTTGGTTTAAGATTCGTTTCAAATATCTTAGTAACTTTAACGGATTATCTTTAATGCAAACGATTTCTTTCTAAAATTATATTAGTATATTATTGTACCGAAATTTCTTCTATTAAGTAAATTATAAAGACATATAATATGACATATATAATAGGACACGCCTCCTTAATGTTTGTCGCTGCGCAAAGATACTACTTACAGATATTCCGTATTCGACAGATATTCTATAATCGACCTTAATCCGATATATTTAAGGAGTATTTTTGAACTCGTTAGTAATAAAAACATTAATCATAGGGTGAAAATTTTTCTTTCTTTCTTATATAAAAATTAATACTTTAGAACTTAAACGTCAGCGACAAAATTCAACTTCCAGGTAAAACGTGTCAGTCTTCAAAGTTGAATAGGTGCTTCTAAATTTCTAATGTAGAAGTTTATGTAAGAAAGGTATAAAAAAATCGAATAATAGGATATTTTAATAATGAAATTAGAACTAAAACTTTTAATAGATTTTCACCTATACCGCTTTTAACTTTTTAGCTTGGAATAATTTTTAGGTATATATATAATTTTAAAGTTGACATCATTAAGACAATTTAATTCCTACAGTGAATAAGGTTTGTGTTGTGTTTGAAGCAAAAGCAAAAGTTCGTTTGTCCAATAATTATGAAAGTATGAAAGAAGATAAGTATTTATTTAAATATATATATAATAACACATAACGCCCTATTTTATTTGGTTGGCTAATAAATTTTTACGTCTTTCTTGAAAGTATTAAAAGTACATTTTCTTTTAAAGAAAATTTTAATCATTAAAAGTAAGACGAAATGCAGAATTACCAGTTTTTAATTTTCGAGTATTTATTTTTCAGCTGAAGCTTGGAATTTTTTTATCAATAATCATATATAATTTGTAAATTTATGTAGAATTTCGGAGTAAACGGATATGAAAAATCAATATATATGTAATTTTTCTCATATTCTTTCAAGACGAAATATTAATTTTCTAGAAGAAATAATTCAGATGTCTTTTGTTATCTTCTTCGAGATGATTCTCCTGGTTTTAACGATAATTGCGATCTCATGACTGCCTTGTGAAATCCACGTATAAATGCGTTTTTAATTACAGCGTCACATCTATGAAAATAGTTCCTGTCAGAATATTTCCACCTGTATCAAGACAACGGTATCCTTCTTCATCTTTTAGCTGGTAGAGCCTAGCTTTGGTCAAGTTGCTACAGCTCGAATATGGGCTGGCTCGACCAGGGAAGTACTACCCACTCATAGAAGATCGGCGTGAAGTAACATTTAGTTACTGCGTTTTATCCGATGAGTGAGAGAGCCGGTTGCGATTTTCCTGTTCCAACCCTTTGCCATTTCCTTATTTCCACTTTTTCCCCAACAGCGAAGGTTGGCCACTTCTATACAATTTATATAAATGGGCCGGTGCAGTTGAGGAGATCATAGGAAAAGTGTTGCAGGCATAATATCAACCTGGCTAAGAATACAACGGTCTGGAGATTTATTGTGGCAAGAACAACTCAGCAAATCACGTATATGAGCACTGAAGACACGACGAAAGAGATGGAGGAAGTGGGAGAATGAGAGAGAGATAGAGGGGGGAGGGACTAGGTGATGGAGAGGGGGGGGGGTAAAATTTATATACAGTGGCAGATGGACATCCTCTTTTGCAACGTAAGCAAAATAAAAAGGGACTGTTCGGTAAATTGCAATCGCCTTCATAGATAGGACGTGTAATTATAGCAATTAATGTTAATCTTCTATTTTGTATTTCATTCTTTCTAATTCTTCTTCTGAGCAAACGTCTCTTCTCAAAAAGATTAAAACCTTAATCACCAAGTTCGCTCAAGGAGGATTGGTGATTTCAAACTTATAATTTGGATAAGTCCAGGTTTCCTCACCGCTTATCAGTGGTTTTGTCTCATTTAATCTTTTGTACATACTTCTTCATCTATGAGATCATCTCCATTATATAGGTTTTAGAAGATTTACTTTTATGAAATACCCGTGTTCCTATGAGAATGCCTTGCCTTCCCCCCACCCCTCCCTGGGATTACGCAGGTAGGAAGGTTCTCTTTGCGTTTCCACTCATTATAAAGGGTGGGTTTTTGGGGATATATATCCGTCTTCTCCTTTCCGGAGCAGATCTCCTGAAGCTTCTATGGCCTAGCTGAAGACTTACACGTTTGATGATCTTCGATCTTATTACTAAGTAATTAAGATTCAAAATTCCATGGGCAGTCCAAGATGAGGACCACTTAGTTGAATACCAGATGAATAATTGGTTCAGCTAATAGGTTGCTTATGCTAATTATCTGATAATTAAGTATTCTTTGAATACCTAATGTATTCAAAGAATACCTATTGTAAGTGGTGGGTTCATTTTACACTGGTTAGGATCTTGTAGTCCTTCAACTGGGTGGGGCTGTGACCTTGACCCACTATGTTTCATGAGTGACCTTGACCCACTATGTTGTAGCCTTGACATAGTTTATGTGCACACGTTTATACGCATGCTGTCATTAGATGACGTTCGTGGAAACAATATTAGAAATTTTAGGATTGATACGAAATTTGAAATTAAATATATTTGACTTCCAATTTATATACTTTTTGCTATATTTTCTAATGGTTTCTTTTTATTTATACGCATAAAAATAAGCTTTACTATTTCAAACTGCAACATTTTATGCCGATCAAATTATATATTAGTTTTACTGAGAATGAAAAAAATATCAAAAAATTTACATTTTTTTTGCGTGAAATATATTTTCACGGCGTCGGATTCAGAGCAGCAGCGAGTTCAACGCTGCCGCAGCTCGATATTTAAGATTTTTTGCGTTTTTCCAAGAAGGTATAAATTAAGACAATACATGACCATGACCTTGACCGTGACAAAAAGCACCATACCTTATCCGGTGCCGCCGTAGTCGCAACTAGGTCCGTAGTCGCAATTAGGTCCGTCTCCGGCTCATGCAGCAACATCTTGAATCGTATTCACTTTGAAAATAAACTTAAAAAAACTTAAAACTCGATAAAAACCTTACATACAAATTAAAAAACAAAAAAAACGACAAAAACTAAAACGCCCTGAAGAAACATAGCTCAACAAGTAATAAAACAAACAAAACAGAGCTTAATTCCACAGTTATCAACTTAGTTAGCGAGAATCAGTACTATTTAGTACTAAACGCGTGCGAACCAGCCGAGGGTTGAAGATCAACTGAGAGGGATGCTGGGCTCCACGCATGCGCAGTACAGCTGGACCCAGCGGGAAAATAGTTTCCAACACAAACTGCGCACTGCAGCCTTTGTGCAACAGGAATTGATTAAATGCTCTACATAAGCCTTATATAACGATGCGACCTTGAAATATTATTTGAAGGACTCAACGATTCTGTTTATTTGGTATACGTAAATTCGAGGAGTAGTGAGAAATTTAATGTATTTTAAGTTTTTTGATTCATATTAAATTCCTACTTCAGTAAGTTTTTTTTTGGTCTATGACTTATTAAAGATGGATTTAATTTTAAAAAAATTAAAAAAATATAATTTTTTACGAAGTTTTATGATTGAAATTTTTATGAACATGATCTATATGAGACATCCCGTCTTTACCTGGATGGATACTAACTATAACTCCTTACCTTGGCCGGCTCAAAAACTCTAGACATTCTACCCTCGGTATGGTTCATTGGATATCCATATCACTTTAACTTGTAATGTGGAAAACCTGAGAATGTATATTAAAGAAATAATATTCCTCTCCGAATCATAATCTCACTCTCATCTACTTGGAAAGAGAAGTTTAACTGGAATTTTCTGGAATTTTCTGAAGTTTTTCGTTCGAGCGAACTAAATTTTGCGTACTTAATGTAGGTTATATTTGACGTTTGATCCAATAGCTCGTCAGTTTCTCGAAGCTCATTATCTCACTGAAGTTCTGCCTCCTTCTGAGGTATTTTTCCATCACCATACCCACCTTAATCAACATTCTGTCTGATAGGGATTTTATTTATCATGTACTTAATTCCTAGTACTATTCAGATAGTATTTAAAAAAAATTAAGCTTAGAGCGAAAATCAGATATACGATTATATGTTTTCAAATCAAAAATATCATCTTCTTTTTTCGGCAAACACTATTAAGATAGTATTCTAGGTGGTTATATTTCTACTGTGTCTTCGTAGAGTAGAGATTTATCAAAAGTGTGCCAAATAAAAGTCAAGTTTTTTTTAAGCCTATCAGAGCCCAATGCTGAACAAAGGCCACTTTCTTACATGGAGAAGGTTTGAGCATTAATCACCACGCTTGCTCAAGACGGGTTGGTGATTTCAAACTTATAATTGTGAAACTATAAGTCCAGATTTCCTCACGATGTTTTCCTTCACCGTATGTCAGTGATGTCTAAATACTGTCAGAAAGTACATATAATTCGGAGAAATCACATTGGTACTTGCCAAGATCGAACCCGCGCCCTCTTGCATGAGAGGCGGGCCATAAAAACAAGAGGCTACACTATATATAAGTTTTATATGTATAGTTGAATTTTAATCTCTTTACAACTTCCCGTTTTTCCAGTTACCATCACTTTCAAACACTAAAATCTTAAAGTTACATACAGATGTACAGACGTCGGTTATATAAAATTTCCTACCAAATGTTACTGACTAATTTTATAGCTTTAAAAGAAATACCTCTTTACTGTTCTTTTCTTTATTTCATTGCAATTTCACTTATGTTTGACCAACTTGAAGAAAACTCGTTTATACTACCACCATGTGTACGGTGACACGTGTAATAATATGAGTAGAGATTTATTGAATTGTTGCAATTTGAATGCTCTATTGTAAAAGTGATTTTATTTATAACAAAATATTTTGGCTATCTATCGCATGTCGCATTACACCGGGTTGCAGAGTGGGGGTAAAATAAAACGCCCACGGTAAAGCAGAATAGGCCAATTTAGTTGACTTTCTTGTTGATTGATGTTCAAACTTTTCAGTAATAAAAAAATATTACTTTCAGTTCTTAATTAATTTTAAGTTATAGACTGAATATATTCGAATAAACTACAATTGAAACTTATAGTTGGGTATCTAAAGTACGTTCTACTTATTTTGCCTTATTTAATTGAACCATAAACAAAATCATTCACACAAAAAACAAAAGCAAAAAAACATAGTTCTTTCTAATTTCATTTAATAATAATATTTTTGTGTGTTATGTTGTATATTATAATCAATGTATGAATTACTAATTTTTGCCCATGACCTAGATCACATGTATTTCGTAATTGGGCTTAGAGCAATAGACCAAAATGTATGAAATTTGTTCAAACAATAAATTTAGTAAGCCGGCAGTAGCAGTAGTTTGTGTAACTTCATGCAAAATACCCGGTAGTTTAATATGCGCTATCTTCAAAGAAAAATAGGATTTTTTAAAAAAATTTTAGCTTACGGCTTACTCTGATCTCTTTGAATACTTAAAGATATGGTACTTAAAGATATTTAAAGATACGGTAGAATTAAAACAGTGATCAAAGTATGTTACACAGTTTTTGAGAGAATAAGTAACACCAAACATACATATGTATCTATGACAGTTACAATATAATATATTAGTTACAATAATATACTATCGAAATTCTGTGTAATAAAAAATAATGGCCGAATCCGTGATAGGATATGAATTATCCAGCTACGGTAGGACATACAAATCGCACCTTGATCAGATATACACACTGCAGTGACGTATTTTAAAAACATTGGTCCCGCAAAATATAAGAGATATATATGAAAATGATTACAGAAAACTATTTGACTTCTGTAAAATAATACCCATACATAAAAGATCGAAATTACGCTATTAGTGGAAGAATTTTTTAATAACAAATAACAACTTCAACTAAAAGTACAGCTCAAAAATGCCGAAGATCGAATATTGCGTAGTAATTCCAATTGTAAACTTTTACTACCAACCTATACTAAAATATAGGGTAAGAGAATACTAAAATATGTCATTCCGAAGTTAATAAATAAACTGCCAATAGGCATAAAAAATGAAATTACACCTAAAAATATAAAATACAAATTAAAAAGATACTATTTAAATAATGAATTGAATATAGTTAAGTAAAACACACAGTCATACTTATACACAATACACACAATATTAATTTATATACATATAATTACTTTATATTTCAAAAAGGAAATAAAATTATCTAAAATAACTACATTAATAAATAATAAAGTCTACAACAGATATCAGACTGTATTTGTTTTTGTTACGAGACGCGACGCGACGGTAGTAAAATTAAACTACATATAATCGCGTAATCTGCAAATTTCAAGATATAACCTCGTTAATATTTTTCTGTACAAATAAAATGTTATGTACGAGTAGTTAGTTTTTTTTGTATTTTAGTTGTAATTAATATTTTTGTTTTAATTTATTTTATGTGTTTTGTTTGTTTCTTTATTTATTTTAGTGTTATGCATTAGTTATATAATTGTAAAACGTAAAATTGACGACACTGGTGTTCGGAAAAACTTGAATTAGTTTATGTTAACACCTTTAAATGTAAAACCATGTTCACGTACTCTTTTTGTAATTAAATAAGTGCTTTGTTTATGCACCAACCAATAATTCATTGAACGAAATCCTATACTAAATGTGGCTGACAATGAAAAATTTGCAGGAAGAACTTAAGTCTCGATAGTGCTTTGTTCTTAATAAACTTAAGCAACCTTGAAGCTAAAACTTCTATATTTCTCACTTAATTAAAAGATTCAATGTTTTTATACAGGATTAATAATGCTTAAAGAAATTTGTTCTTTAATAGTATTAAAATAAGAATAAATTTGCCTTATTAACTTATATTAAAAAAGAAAATGTAAACATCAAAATAGAATGCTATTATACATATCTGGGATAATGCAAATTAAAAATAATAAAGAAAAAAGTCGTGGGAACTATATACAAATATTCTTTTAATTGATAAAATATTTAAAGAAAATCTAAGTTCAAGAAATCGTTTGTAGAATTCAGTTGCAAAAATTATAATAACTTTGCTTTACCTATACGAAGGTCAAAGAAATTGGTTAAAATCAAGTAAATTGGTTGCCAAAAACATGTTAAGTGACCCGTGAAACTTACATCGTGCTTCATGATTTCAGACACCATCTCTTGAGCATTAGCTGGTAGACAGCTTGTGTAATTGGTCCAGCCGGTGTCACTGCCAGGGCGACTATCCCACGTTCCCAGAATTCCACAACGTCGAGAAGCATACTCTAGTAAACATCCAGATTGCTTTTATTTTCTTATAAATACGTATCTTAGTATATATATCTATCTTCTTCTACCTGGCAATTTCCCAGCTACAGCCAGGGTCTACCTTACATGTTGTGAATAGTTTTGGCTATTTGTTTTTACGACCGGCCGCCTGCCTGATATCAACCCTCTTTTGGGAATGCATTAATCAGTGATGTCTAAATACTCTTAGAAAGTACTTATGACTCGGAAAAATCACATTGGTTCTTGCCTGGGCCAGGATCGAACCCGCACCTTCGTGCATGAGAGGCTGGCCTTTTAACCACTAGGCCATCACTGACTAGCCAGTAGTTTAGTATGTATATACATATATAGGTATTAATTATCCACTGAAATACATGCTTGGTTCTTGAATGTATGTATTAGTGATAGAATAAAAATTATCATTTAATTTACATACTAGAGATTTAACCTTCAATTACATATACCCATTTGAAACGGATCGATGATTGGTTGTCCGAATTCGTATAGAATATTACAGTTCCCGGAATTGCTAAGCCGATTGCGTGTAGCTCGAAACTACATATTTAGAGTAATAAAAATGTTGCTGCCTATTGAATTTAATTCGCTACTAATATTATTTAATAAGATTATTTACAGGACTGCGTAGGGAAAATTACATATTTCATTATTTTTTTAAAACTAATTTT